CACCTGGATGTGACAACAACCTCCTGCCTGAAGAACATTCTCTATGTGGCCTCCCCACCACTCTCACTCTAAAACTGACCGTTTGTCTTCTTCTATAATTCACGATGATTAGGATAAAATCCAGATTCCTTGATTATAGCAGAGAAAGATTTCCACAATTTGTTCTCAACATCTTTGTTCTCAGATCTTTGCCCTTTTCAACACTCTATATTTTCTCTACCTGAAATTTCCTTCCTCTGGATGGTTAATGACCTCAACCTGCATGTTATTCTTTAATTATAAGGTCTTAAGGGAGAGAGCCAGGAGATAAGAAGATAAAAAAAAAAAATAAGAAAGCTGGGGTCAGGAGTCTTGCATAAGTGATGTCTTATGCCAAGGAAGCTTATTAAGAAATGCAGTATTTATTGAATTCATGCTCATTTTTTGAATGTCTAGAAGTAGAATGGACAGAGTTATTTTGTGGTACTGTAAACATGAAACAATTTTTTAAAAAAAGAAATACAGTATCTTATATATAGCTTTTCCTAAAAGGGAACTGGGGACAATGTCAGCAAAAGTTCTCATACAATGAGACAAAGTCATTGGGAAGCTAATCTAGCAATTTGGGATGGATACCATAGCTCCTTAGGATGGGAAGAGTTGGGATCCCAGGATCTTAAACCACACCTATTACAGTTCTACCAAGTATATTCCTGGTTTAGAGAAGATGCTATATTCCTTCTCAGGGCCTCAGGGGAATCTCAGGTCAGGTCCTAGTCCTCAAAAGTTAAAGGGGGGGGGGGTGGTGGCAGGGGAGACACACACACAGAGACAGGGGTGGGGGAGAGATCTCTAGAGTTGCTTCTTCATTTCAGCCAAAGAAAAGAATGCAAAAGAAGGTTGATTTAATATCTATAAACCAATTAATGTAAATACCATATCAATGGAATTAAAAGCAAACCACACAATCATCTCAACAGTAAAAAAAGCATTTGGTAAAAACCAATAACCAATCCATGATCAAAACAGTCAACAAACTATAAACAGAAGGAAATTTTCTTAGTCTGATAAAAGACAGCTAAGTCATCCCTACCCACACTGTATTTAGTGGTATAAGAAATGTCTTCTTAAGATAAGAAGTAAGATAAAATACTGGTTTTATCCCATCTATTCTACACCAGTACTAGAGACTCCACTTAACCAAGAAAAAGGAACAAAAGGGGTGTAGATCAGAACAAAAAATAAAATTATGCCATTTGAAGAGAACATGATTATGTTTAAAAAGCTAATAAACAAGTTCAGCAAGTGGCAGAATACAGGATAAATACATAAGCATCATGTATCCATGGTCTAGCAAAGAACAACCTCAAAATAAAACTAATAACTCAATTCATAATATAGCATAAAAAGAAAATAAAGGTCCATTTAACAAAATAAGGCTTAAATACTGAAAACCAAAAGTTCTTCAAAAGAAAAAGATTTAGATAAATAAAAATCCTGTGTTCACAGACCGAAAGCTTAACACTGGTAAGGCAGCAGAACTGACTCAATACAACCTAGCCAAGTCCCAGTCAACTCTTGGCTGTTATTGTTTCCTTTCAGGATCCAATAAAATTGTTATAAAATTAACATAGAAATGCTAGTCACAGGACACAGAAAATCATAAACTGTTTTACAAAAGGAAACACTTAGGGGATTGCAACTTCATAGTTTCAAAAGAACCATGTGTAGCCTACTGGAACAGAACGAAGAATATAAGCATGAACTCATGTTTATAGCTAACTGAGTTTTCACAAGGGTGTCAAAACCAATTCAGTGAGAAAGAGGAGGCTTTTGAATAAATGGTGCCAGAACAGTTATATACCCCCATATGGAGTTGGACTATTTCCTCTGAACATATGCCAAAAAATAGCTTCAAAAGCTCAAAGATGTAAATACAGGATCATAAACAATAGAACTTGTACACATAGAAATAAATCTTCATACGCAGCAATGATTTGTCTTAGATATATTGGATGCTAAAAGCAACAAAAGAAAAAAACTGAAATTCATCAAAATTTAAAACTTTCTTCTTTTGAAGAAAATGAGCACAACACCCTGAATGGGCAAGGAGAACACACTAGTAAGTGGAGTGAACGTCAACATGTCAACTCAACAACAAGAGGACATACTCTCCATTCTTAAAAGATAAAAGACTTAAACAGGTATTTCTCTACAGAAGATATGTAAAACACACACACACACACACACACATTTCTTAATGCCAGATCAAAATACAACCACAAGGAGACACCACTTTTGATTTATAAGGATGGCTGTAATCAGAAGGACAGGTAATCAATGCCCTGGAAAAAACCCTATCCACACCAGCTGCAAGGAGACATGAGACCAAAGAAAGGCCCTCAGAACCAGGACTGCAGTATCATTCATTTGGGACTTGAAGTTTGGTGGTCAAGACAGCAAAAAGCCTGGTGACTCTCCATTATCTGGGTCAGAAGAAGGGGGCTTTAAAAAAAAAAAAAGAATTATTTATGTTATATATGTGAGTACACTGTCGCTGTCTTCAGACACACCAGAAGAGGGCATCAGATTCCATTACAAATGATTGTGAGCCACCATGTGGTTGCTGGGAATTGAACTCAGGACCACTGGAAGGGCAGTCTGTGCTCCTAACCAATGAGCCATCTCTCTAGCCCAGAAGGGGGCTTTTTTTAACCATTAGGACATAATGTTTTCTCCAAACTCAGGAACACACTATGCTTGTCTCTAGCTAATCCAAGAGATGGCAGGCACATTTTCAAACACACCAGACTCTGCTCATACAGTCCTACACTCTAAAGGTTTTTTCTACACGCTATGCCAGGAAGCTCACTAGGCTTACTCAAGGTTAAGGCATTTCAACCTTGTCACTGCAATAGGTAAGATGTAAAGACATCAAAACTTCCACATACTGCTGGTAGGCCTGTAAAATGGAAAAGTTGCTTTGTAAACAATCTGGCAGTTTCTCAGAAAGTGAAATGTAACTATACGACTAGGAAATCATGCTTAGTTTCAATCACAAATGTACCACATAGAAATCTTTAGATAAATGGTAGCATTATTTCTTAAGAGCTGAAAGGCAAAACAATCCAGATGTCCATCAACTAACAAAGAGATCAGAAAAATGTGACCTATCAGCACAAGCTAGTATTCAGTCATTAAGAGGGATGAAGTACAAGCTAGAAGATAAATAAACCTTGAGACTTTATGCTAGTTTAAAGCCAGTCAAAAAGTGCATAGGTGATCCTACAGACACAAAAAAGATGACTGGTTGCCCTCACTAAAGATGGAGAAAAGAGGAGAGTCATGACAACTTAAAAGGCTTAGACTACCTTTGGGAGATGATGAAATGTTCTAAAACTTATTGGGCTGATGGCTACACAACTGTAGATATGCAAAAAAAATCGACTTGTGTGTTAAAATAGACAAATTACATGTTACATGTAGTAGATTGGGGGAGGGGAGGAAAACTCTATAAAAGCTTTGTTAAGTTGCAATAACAGACTGTTACATATGCACATCTTCCCTGTGTAGACCAGAAAGAATACCAGCAACTAAAACTGTGGTACTCACCTGGTAGCTTATCTGTTTTCCTCTACTAAACCAGGAGTTCTCCTAGGCAGGAGATTGACTCCTGCTCCTTGGAACTCAGTGAGTGTCTATGCACTGTGTATGACAGGTGACAGGATATACCATTACTGCTAGTCAAGACTACCCCTAAGTGGTCCTGCGGGAAGCTTTTAGGTCACCTGGAGTCAGCAGGCAAAGTCTAAGGCTGGGGAACATCTGAGCAGAAACTTGAATGATGAGAGTCGAGCATTTCAGCAATGAAGAAAACAGACAGGGCAAGGACTTCAAGGCGGGAACACTGACCACCAGTACCTGAGGTGTCAAGGGACTCCACTCTCTAGAGCACTCAGAGGGAGGGAGGGGTGTCTTCTACTCATGCTCAATAGCATTTCTTTAAGATATTTGAATTAGGTAAAAGGGAGTTTTAGAACTCTTCACTGATTAGGATAATCTCAGAATTACTCTTCTTCAAGACAAAAACCACGGATAGGAAAAGAAAAATGAGCAAAACTTTTTGAATTTTGCAATGACAGACAGCGCAGTTTTACAAGCACAGCTCATCAAACGCATTCTGCAGGCAGAATAATGTGCTCAACCCGCCTTCAGCCCCTAGAGCACGGCGCTTTGCATTTATAGTATTTTTAATCTCTAGTGCTCCGGAGGATGGAAGGATAGCCAATATGCGCAAATTCAAAGAGGATTACAGTTCAAAGGGAGCTGTCCAGCAACCAACAGGCTGAAACCAGAGGAGATGGTTCACAAACTGTTCATATGGCTCAAGGACATTACCGGGATTATTCACAAGACAAAGTTACCAGCAGAACTTTGTGAACAACAGGGAAATTATTCCAGTCCCTTCTCCCAGTATTCAGGCCTATGTGCTTACAGATTCTGTAAAACTGCCAGAATGTAGTAGTCAAAGGGGCTGATTTTGAAACATTCTCATGCCAAAAAACAAGAATAACAGCCATGAGAACAGTAACTTGTTTATCTCCACCTCAGGAACAAAAATGTTTTAAACTATTAAAAGAAATCTTCACGGCTTTGTTGTTTTGAGACTGAGTCTTACTATGTAGCCCTAGCTGGCCCGGAATTCATTAAGCAGACCAGGCTGGCCTTGGACTTAGTGATCCTCCTGACTCTAGAATGGTAGCATTATAGGCGTGCACCACTCCAGCTCAAGTTGTACTGTAAGAGGCAACAAGAGGCTGAACCAGTGAGCGCCCAAAACCATGATGAAACTTCACTACCAACTAAGATTCCTACAGATGCATGGCAGAAAGGGGAAACCTACTAACTATAGATGTTCAGGCACAGGTAACAAGATGACACGCAAGCCACTGAAGGGAAGAGTGTAGGCCTGGGAGGCCACGACCGCCCACGAGCTCCGCAGCTGCCCAGTCAGCGCTCACCTTCCGGGCCCGGTGGCGGCTCCGGCCGCTTCCCGCGGGACAAGAAGGCCTTGGGCAGCAGCAGCGACACGGCCAGGACGAGCCCGGAGGCCAGCGCCACTCTCTGCACCGTGGAGTACGCCATGGCTGCTTACCGCGGGTCCCAGGAGTCCGAACCGGAACCGGAACCGCAGCGCGCAAGCGGGCTTACACTCGACCCGCAGGCTGCACGGACGGCGGCGCGCGAGGGACAAGAGGAGAACACATTCAACTCTGCTAAAGTGCCCGAGGGCGGTGAGGTGTAAGCCAACAGCAAGCTTCTATCTCCTAGCTCGCCTGCGTCCAGCTGTCACCCAGGCCGGGCATCCTAGCACCTAAATCTGGCAGTTTTGCACTTCTCTCCATTCCTGCTCACCATCCAACCCTAAACCCTTTCCTCCTTTGTGTAAGGAACTCATTTTCCTAACTTCCTTTCGTGCACTTCCCTTCCACACTCCATCTGCAACTATGGGCGATAAAACCAAAACTCAGGACTATTGAGCTCGCGCCATAGCTTAAAGCCTTTCAGAACCTACCATAACCTTCGGAACAACATCAAATCTCTTTCTCTGACCTCAAGACCCTGTGTGATCTACTCTTACCAATGTTCTTTAGAAACTGGATGACACATTATTTGCTACTAATTTTCTTATTTCAAGTGGACTTTTATTCATCCTGTTTCCTCTACCTGGAACATTCCTGTTGTCATCCTCACCTGTCAAAAGCTCACCAGAAGAAACAGCTTAAGAACTACTATCCTTAAGAAACGTTTACAGCCAGTATCCTCATCTGTTACAAAACCTTGGCTCTGTGCCACCTGTTTCTAATCCTTTAACAGATATTCTTTTAGTTTTAATCTACTCGTCAAACTTTGAAGTTAGCCTTACAGAGTGTGATGGATCAAATGGGTTCCACTGAGAAACTGGTTGACATCTAAACAAAATTCTGGAATCCACAATCACCTAAACTGCAAAAGGAGCCAGGAAAGCCTCTGCTGAAGTAAAATGTGAACTCTTTATTTAATAGGCAGGCAGGTGAGAGGGGATAGAGGGGTATCCAGGAAAAGCAAGCAAAGAAAGCTAAGGGAGGGGAATTCAAAGCTTCCTGCCATGTTCAGAGAACTACCAGTAATTTATTTTAGCTGGACATTCAGTTGGTGACTAGACATAAAGTGGTGAGACTGTAGATCTCAAAAGTAGATTGTGAAAAGTGTAGGGAGAACTTTCAGTTAAACATGGAGGGTGGAACTCATGTATTTGTCTTTGCTTCCCGTAGACACCTCCTGAAACAAAAAGGTGCACACACCTACAAGACTAAAGAGGATGGTAGAAAGTGGGATATCAGATGAGAAGGATCAAAACTCCATAAGGTATATAGCAACATCATCGAATAGAAACATAATGTCAGGTTTTCTAATACTCGTATTAAAAGGGTTAAAATAAAGAACAATGTTCTCAGAGTGGCACATATTGCCCTAGCTACTTTTCTCTTGCTGGGATAAACTCCACGACTAAAATCAACCTGGACTAGGAAACAGTTAATTTGGCTTACAGTTTCCAGTCCACCATCAAGAGAAGCCTAAGCAAGACCTGAAGCAGAGACCATAGAGGAACGCTGGCTTGGTCCTTCAGCTAACTCAGCAACTATTCTTATAACGTTAGCCCATATGCCCAGAGATGGCACCACCACCAATGGCTGGGCTCCTTTACATGAGCCAGCAATCAAGAAAATGCTCCAATGGACACATCCACAGGGAAAACTGAGGCAATTCAGTAAATGAGGTTCCTCCCTCCCCAGTGAAACTAACCAGTAAACATCATTCAATTGATTGTCCTAGTAACTATATGAAGAAAGTATTATTTTATGACCATTTGAGGGAAGAGAAAAACAAGGCAAAAAAAGCTTAAGAAAGTTGCCAATGACTACCTGGTATAAATTGGAATCTGTGATTTGAACCCAGGAGTACTTATCCTAGAACTATCAGTTTTAGTCTCTGCAGATGTTGGTCCAGAGAAGCTCTGAGCTCGTGGATAACAGGGGGCAGGTTAGGAAGAAGTTACTGATGGAAATATGGCCACTGAGAAATACAGAGGAATCTGATATACTCTCCCAAATTCTAGCATCTGTGGCAGGCAGGCATTGATTCTATATTACAAAAATTTGCAGAACAGAAACATAATGAAGTTGTTAAGAAGATCATGAATTCAAGTTTTGAGCTTGATGTTCCATGAAATACATAAAAATATCTAGAACATATGCTTGGCTTAGAAGAAATTTGTAGGTTGAAGTCAACTGGAAACATAATTAGTAGTAATTAAGTCAGGGAGAAGATGACATTAGCAAGAGTGTTTCTGGAAAGTAAGGTAACAATGGAAATCTAGTTGACAATGCTATATCAAAGTTCCCACGTATGGACCAAGATGGGCATATGAAAATAATGACTCAGAGGTGAAATTTTTGAGTGACGGAAGATTTGAAGGTAATATGTATAGAAATATAGCAAACAAGTAGGCATAAGTTCTTTTAAGGGTGTGTGTGTACATGTATGCATGCTTGTGTGGGGGTATAATAAAGGCACATGGAGACCAAGAAGGCAACCTTAGGAAACTTCAAGTGTCACAGGAACACCGTCTACAATATATTTTGGGCAAGGTTTCTCACTGGCCTTGGAAATCACTAAGTAGATTAGCCCTGGGGACCCACCTATTTCCACATCCCAGCTCCGGGCTGAAATCATGGGCCACTGTGCATTTTTGTTTGTTTTTATATTTGTTTTGTTTTAAACAAGTTCTGGGAAATGAGCCTGGTTCTTCACACTTGTAAGAGGAAGTACTTTACTGACTGAGTCAGCTCCCAAGCCCCTGAAACTATATTTTTGTTATTATTAGTGGTAGTGATAACGGTTTGTTTATAAAAAAGCAGCTATTTGAAAGCACCGAGAAAGGTTGAGTTGTACACCTATTACACTCCTAGGCTTCGAGCCATGGGAAGGCAAATAGATCTTCTTTAGAGAAAAATGCCAAGTAAACATCCAAGAGGAAATAGCCAAGTATCCATCAGAACAAGAAAGCTAAGAGAAGCACAGAAAAGAGAGGAAGGTAGGTAAGAAATGAAATGTGTTATAGTAATATGGGAATGGAGGACCATGTGAAGATGAATGAAGTGGTGGCTTAAATTTCAGCCACAGTAAAGGAATCGTGATCATGTTAGACCAGGGAAGTAACCTAGTGAAAAGTGAAAACACAAAGTTATAGTCTAGAGTTTCTATTACCTAGCTGGGTCCATAGTCAGTACTGCAGCCAGATGAAATGTGGTCCTGAAAGGGACAGCAGCCTGCTCAGAGGGTGGAGATGATTGGTTGCTGCAGTGAAGTCTTGACTGGCTGTGCTGTGAGGTGGCTTCTGGCATCCTGAACTCAGAAGTATACTGTAATAAAACCCTCCAGAAAAGCGCAGCTGCCTCAAAGCAAGGCTTTTAAATATAGTATTGGGAATTGAGAGCACAACTCTGCTGGGTGTGAGTAAATACTGATCAAGGAGGCAGAGCTGGCAAATCAAGTTCATTCTGTGTATGATATGCATGGAAAGAAGTTAATAAAACTGCAGTAGGGATTCGGGGTGTCTGGGGTTAAGGAAGGCCTGTAGTCACTCTTTGTTTTTCAAAGACAGGGTCCTACATAGCCCAGGCTAACCTAAAACTTGCTATGTAGCTGAGGCTGTCCTTGGACTTCCAGTCCTACTTCCACATCCTAAGTGCTGGATTATAGGTCACTATATCTGGAGGAAACAAATATATTTGTGTGTTTAGTGGGAAATGTCAGGAAAAGGATGATGGAAAATCTAGAAGTAAGAGGAACCAATATTAGAGCAAAGCCCAGATCTGGAGGAGAAATGAGGGCCACACAAGGACTCAGTGGTGGAGCTAATGTAGAGGAAAAGGAGTGGCACATGTTAAAGAAATAGAATAGGGACAGCAGACCAAGGAAGTCTGTTTCCCAATGCAGCAGCCCTCCTGGCAAAAGGTTGTATCCAGGCCATCAACTAAGGAAAAGGGTCTGGAAAGGACTTTTGAGTGTTGAAAATCATTCCAGCTTGGCAAAGGGTCATGAAGATAACCAGAGACCATAAATAACTGTGGATTATTTGTTCTCTTCATGGAAACAAACAGCATCTCTCTATCAGTACATCTGGGCTGGCCTTGGCATCCCTACAGCATCCTTTGACATTGGCAGCCTCCAAGAACCCATTATGAAGACTAAAGGTAGGCAGGAGAGAGGAGGGGAAACTAAGAGACCCTCACTTGTTAGAGAAAAGAGACAGTTAAAGTCCTTAATGAGGAATGGGCATTCTCTGTCGGTGACCCTGGTCATGGGATCCTTAAAAAGGGTGATCCTGGTGATTGGCAGCTGTGTTAGGTCCATGAAATTAATCCTGAGATTGAAATGTCTTTAATATAAGGATGCTTACAGAGTTTTTACAGGGAGAAAGGAGATGGTGGGAAACATAAGTCCAGAGTATCTACTCATATGTACCTGTGAAGTAGTTGGATTAAAGTGACCACTGTTTCTTTGTTTCCTAAACACAAGGCCTCCATGGAATGAAGGTGCGCACATGACTGAAGGGAGAAGTGAGAGGCCAGAGTACTTTCATGGGAAGTTTGTAGGAGAAGAGAGTTCAACTAAGATGGCCTAGAACTCAGTATATAAACCAGAATGGTCTTGAAAACCACAAACATCTGGCTGCCTCTGCCTCTTAAGTGCTAGGATTGAAAGCATGAGTTAACACACCTGGCTTGATTTTTCTTTTTTAATACAGTCTCTGGAAACTGTGGGCTTTGAACTTAAACTTCTGATCTGCCTAAAAAATACTTTAAAGAAGAGTGCATAAGGAATGACTGTAGTCCCATTGTGGAGAGTTATAGTCCTTACCACAGACAAGAAATGGTATAGCCATTAAAGAAATGATATCCAAGTAGTCAGAATATAAAGGAGAAGGGAGAGACTTCTAACTACAAAGTCTCCAGAAAAGAAAATTACAAACCAAAAAACCAAACAAACAAACAAGTGGGATACATAGAAGTGTACTGGATTCACACTTTGCAAGATGA